TGACCCAAAAAAAAGTCAAACCTAGGCTGAGTAAGCCACAATGACTTCTTCTAGGAGGTGTTGGTATTACTTATTATTTGGTGTATTACTAACTTTTTTGGTTCGACTCAGTGCAACTCAAGAAATATGCTTCGCGACCCAATTTTGGGCCGCGACCCATAGGTTAAGAACCACTGCTTTAAAAGAACCTTTTTTTTTAAAAAATTAAAATATGTTGTTAAAGGTTAAAATGAAATCGAGAAAATTAGCATTATATGATTAGCATTAGCATTGTATGATTTGTTGGCAAACATTGCTGTTAGTGATTGTAAGAAAATATGTGATTTGATTGACTTTGTTGAGAAAAAATAATTCACAGATTTGAATGGGTGTACAAAAGCTTTTAGAAAAAGAGTATAACATATAATCTATTAAATTATGACCAACCAATTTGTGGTGAATTTTATGAAATTAAAAATACTAAAACATTCTTAACCAATTAGTCAGAAGAAAGAAAAAAACTTAAAGCATCGAAACAAACGATAAATGGATTCAATCCACAGTTTAGAAGTGAAACAAATGCTACTTTTATAAACAGAAGCAAATATCTTAACTCCTTCTTCAACCTCCACCACAATCTTTGCCTTTCCTAAACTGTCTCCAAAAAGGTTTCTCCATTAATTTAGCAATTATGGGTTTTATGTGGCATTCTAGTTTTATAGGGATTAATGGAGTAAATTTTGACGCATGCAAAATATTGCTAAGTTGATATTTCAACTGCTTCGCGAAAAATTTCCATTTAAAAAAAGTCGGTATAACGGATCATAAAATAATTTAAATTAAGAAAATCTATAAAAAAAATCCAGCTTTTCTTTAAAATTCCCTGATTTTTTCAGGTTTTTATCTAAATTTTCCAGTTCCCTGATAATTCCAGGTTTTCAAGGTTTTCCAGGTGGGGGACCACCCTGTTTCTTGTAACCATAGTACCAGCCACGACGCGAGCCGGGTGTCTGAAAGCCGCACTATACTATATAAAGTTGAAAATAAACAATTATTTTTCAAAATTAACTACACAAACATATTAAGTAAAAAGACTCTGGCAGATAGTATTTCAGATATGATGCACACATTTTATTTTATGCTGCTGTTTATGATAGGTCAAACTTAATTGTAAGGATAACTTTTAGTATAAGGTTAACATTGGCCATCAATTAACACACCTTAATACAATTCACCAAATTTCAACAAAATCTGAGGTTATGGGTATAAAATTTTTTTTCCCTGGTGTTTTTGACATGGTATATTATAACCAGTGTTGCCAGATTAGGGGTTTTCCCCCTAAATTTAGGGGGATTTTTTATCTTCAGTGGGTATTTTAGGGGAATTTGTTTTTAGGGGTTTGTTTTAGGGTTATTTGTGAATTTTTCTAGTTTCATTTTGGATACGTTCTAATATCAAATTTTATAAATGAATGTGTGAGATGGTAATATGAAAATCAATATGTTAAACCAAGACAAAAAGATTAAGATTTAATTTTAGAATTTAACCCCTTTGTTGAATGTAGTAAGTTATTTCTTAGTTCGATTCTCGACTTAAATTTACTTAGTACTCGACTTAAGTTTACTTCGCTGGACTCTTGTTTTAGCTTTATTAAGTATTCCATTTTCAAACTCCATATTAAATATTAAAGACAAATTGAGAAAAAAATGTCTATAACTTCAGCTAATGCTATTTTGCGCGTTCCATATGAACTTTCTAATGGTTGTCAAAATTTTGTACCTACTTCTTCCATGTTAAAAATGTTTAACAGTGAAAAGATATACAAATCAGAAAGCATTTACGAAAATATGTTGGATATTTTATCAGAAATATAAGCAAAATGTTAGGATTAAAAAATTAAATCGTTGATAATAAAATATTTATGAAAAAATGTGCGTGTCAAAAAGCATTGAAAAAAATATCTTAAATATTTTAGTAGAAATTAAAGATAATGTAACGATTGAATTGTAAAAACGATTAATTTGCTGATAATAAAATATTAAAAAGTATTAAAGCAACGTTTTTTATACATTATTTAACTTTTGTACTATTTTTTAATATTTATACATTAAGTTAAAAATTTTGGGGTTTCTTCAAAAATTTTAGGGGATTTTACAATGCCATCTGGGGGTGAACGGTTATCGGCACCTGGCAACACTGATTATAACTAGGTTTATGTTAAAATACTGCCATAATTTTTGTACATACTCAAATGAAATCCACACATTTTTCTTACTTTGGTGTAAATGAAGTCATTACTAAACGTTTTTTACTTCATTTTCTTGCATTATAGCCTATATTCTTAATAATTTTAGCAGATTGGTTTTAAACAAGAAACCTCTGACCCTGTGTTTGCATTTATATCGTAACTAAGGTTTATGCTAAGATAATATGCAATTTAAAGAGAGAGAGTTACCGGGAGAGTCGTCAATCCATTTAGACATTCCACCCACAATGCTATCCTGAGTTGAAAGAACAAACTTTAAAACTTCAGGAACATTCACAAACTCATAAGAATCTAAAATCTATAAATAAAAAAAGACACATTAGTAAATGAAAAAATATATAATACAAAATAATATACTGCACATTATACAGTCAAACCCCCGGATACAGTGAACAAAATGTTCGCCCCGTTGCCTTGCTACCCACGTATGTTATTTTTTATGGATATAGTGAACCAAAAAAAAAAGAAGTTGAATATTATGAACTTTTTTCTGTCTTCCACTGATTTATTTTCTTCATTTATAATACATATAAAATACAATACTTCAAAATAAATACTTATACCAATTTTTTAAACCACCAATAGCATGGAATGTAGCAATAAGCATTTTTTCTTCTTTGCTTCATTATTGAATTGATTCAGCATTTTAAGAAGCCACAATCTTCCAGTATCTGGACAAATGCTTCAAGTCAAAGCCGATGAATTTGCTGAACGATTTGTTAAGACTACTTTTGTGTGCTCGAATGGATGGGTTTAAAAAGCGGAATAACATGTATTCAGGAAAAATTATCCGAGAGTCGGGGAGTGTTTCCATATCTGACATTGAGGATTGCTCATCAGTTAAAGATTAAAAATTTTTTTTTGTACACAAAACGAAAAGTAATAAAAGTTAACACATTTTGTTGCTATGTATTATTTTTTCAGTCATTTATTTAAATAATGTGCTATAAAAGGGGGTGTTAGGAACCATTCGTTAAAATTGTTTGCTGAACGGATATAGAGAAGTGAACCGAAATTTCGGTCCCTTGAGGGTTCACTGTAGCAAGGTTCGACTGTATAAAAAAAGAAACAACAACACCACTCAAGCACAGCAGTTTAAGACAATTCGAGACATGATTTGCTAATTTTTTCTGGAAGGATGAAGAAGGGTTCAATGCCTATGTAATATTTTAACTGCATTAAAAGCTGTTCAAATTCCATATTTTCCAAATTTCCTTTAAAATACAAAAATACATTTGAAAAATTTCAAATTTAGAAATAAACTCAGGGAAAAAATTCAAGAGTCAAAAGTTTTGACCACAAATGTAAAACACAAAAGATTCACAAAATTTATGGCAAAATTAATGATAAAAATACAGACACTATTATTATTTATCTCAGAAATATGTTATTAAAAAAATTTCTAACAATTTTGAACATTATTGTAATTTTGTGCTAAAAATATTAGTTTAATTATGATCAAGTTAATAATTTCCTTCTTATATTGGCATAGGCAGAATTGGCATTTGAATTAAAATGTATTTTTAATTTTAATGTAAGTGCTATTTCAAAGTTTGATTACATAAAGTCTATGCTAAGTATTCTACAAAGGTAATAACTTATGCAACTCATGACTTTGAAGTTATCAATTCAGATTCCTGATCCTCAAGACATAGAAGGATTGGGCAACAATTCGAAAAATATAATCTAAAAAAAAAGCCAGGAGAGAAGTCTTAAATTTAAGCTTAAAAATTTCACAAAATATAAACTTGCTTTTTCACACTAACAAATCAGAATATAAACAATACACACATTTTCCTTTAAAATATTTACATAATACAGTGAAAACTGTTAAGAACATTATTATATCCTTTTTATGATGGCCACCTCTTTTAGTTGATTTTAAATGATCAAACTGGCAAATTTCTGCCTTTTAGAATTGACCACCTGTCTCACAAGTGGTCAATTGCTCGGGTTTCACTGCATTACTAAATTAATTTTTTTACAGGGTTGCCACTCAAAACAGGAGGGAAATAAATTCCCTGTATATATTATACAACATATTAAGAGGTAACACTTCCATTACTGTGCTCTTGGGTGAGCTGTAACTATACAAGGTTTAATTCCTGAAAAAAACTTGTAGAGAAAAAAAAGGAACAGCTGAATAATGAAATAGTTTAGTATAGCTGAAATATCATCCTTAAATATTCCATAAATTACGCTTTGGGTGGTCACCATTTTTTAAAAGACGAAAATAAGAAACAAAATTCCCTGAATTTTCCCATTTTGTAAAGAACAGGGTGCATAGTCAAATTTTTCAACCAGACATAAGCACTTTTCAAGCACTCAAAAACTAGTTTAAGCACTTTAAAAAAGTATCATAATTAGACAGGGTTGGCAAGTTTTTGACAATTGCCAAAAACCCAAAATTTTGGCATAATGATAATTATTAGCAATAATAAATATGAAGTATTTATTAAATATGAAGTATTTATAATTAACATACATGTGAAATTACAAGTTTTCCATCAATATTATGTCCGTGAATTATCTTAAATTGCATTCTTTTTGTTTTGAAAATTACTGCCAAAACCCCAAGTTTGGTGCAGAAAAAAATTAAATAATTATAAATAAAAATGCATATTATAATATACATAAAAATATAAATGTGTATTACATTATAGTATTGTAAATATATAATTGCAAATAAAAATATCAAATTGCAATTTATCCAATCCCCTTATTTGTTTAACTATTAAAAAAACATTAAAAAGCAATTATCCTTAAAAAAAATTAACAATCATCTTATTCTTTGTATGTAAAATCAATTTTCATTTTATTCCATTTTCACCCCTCTTTTCCCCAAAGCAAGCGATAAAGAAAAAAAAGTTTTGAAGTCCTTATGACTCTAAGTTCCTTTTTCAGTTTTGTATGAATAAGAACGGAATTCGAAACCGTTCTTTCAATCGATGTTCAGCTGTATAGACTAGAATGTTGACCTACTTAACTATTATAACATATAATTAGGAAATTTATTCTAATAACTGTACCAAATATTGCTGGAAACTTAAAAAAAATCCTTGAATTGAAAAAATTATTAACTCATTTAAAAAAAACATTTATATTTTTTATAAATTATAATTAGTTTACTTATCAGGGAATATATTATATTTATCGTCAATATTTATGTATGCAGGAGAAATCTCAGTCCGTAATATTTCCTTAAAACAGTTTTTTTTAATCAAAATTTTCCCAAAAATTTTAACATTTTTCTTTCAGTAAAATAACTTTTTAAAACTATATTTGGAAAGTAAAGTTTAAATAGAAATTTGTTTGAAAGAATAGGAATTGTAGAATAGAAATTTGTTTTATTTTACATAATTCTTGAATAAGCTAGCCTTTGTTAAAAATCAAAATATGTTAAAATAGTAGTAATTTAAGGTCCCACTCATAAACTTAAGGAATTCAAACTAATAAATACACAAATTGACACTTTATGTTTTTTAACAAGGTAAAATTTTCAAAGCGAGATATTTTTTTAAGAATAAAATATTTTGCAGGAATATTTTTAGATAGAAAATTTTTCTTTGGCTGCCTGAATTTCCCACAGAACCTCGTTATCATGATTAGACATATACTGCTAACCTGGACATAAGTAATAATAACAAACATTAAGAATAAAAAAAAAAATTTTTTTTATAAGTTGAGATCAGACAGTTATTGGCAACCACTTAAGTTTCACTTAATCTAAAAAATCTGCCTAAATTTAGGCATAAAATAATTAAAATCAATATTTAGATTGATAATAATTAACAACTCAAAGATTTTACTTGTAATATATTAAAAGTGCCATGTTTTCAGAAAAAAGTAATTAATAATTTATGGATTTTGGCCATATTTTATATAAATGATACATTAATATAATTTTCAATTATAGTTTATAATGCAAGTATTTTTCATGATTTAATGTCTAATAAAATGACCCAAATGAAACTTGTCACAGGTTTTTGAGTTTTATCAAATTTCAACAATTTCTGACGTGTCAAGTCTAAAACCAGTTTTTGACATCAAAATCCCAATCCTGTAATAAAGATATATATGCGTACTAATAAGAAAATTTTCCTTCATCCTATTGTTGAAAGTTCTTCATAAATACATTAACAAAATGCAAAATAATATCCTAAGACTTTACATGATCATGATAAATTATCTAGTTTCTGACAAAGAACTCTTTTCTTGATTATATTAGCCACCAGAAAAACAATTTATACACAATTTTAAAGATATTCAATATTAAGTAGCTCATTCTATTTTTAAATTAATAATTACATAATTATGTTATTTAATTACGTGGAACTTTTTTTTATTCAAAATTATAATTAATTTAACTATTATTTAAAAAGGTTATTGAGAGTATTTTTTAGATTTAAATAAGAGTTATTTATAAAAGCATATTCAATAACACATTAAAAAGATAAACATTATTGATCATATCGAATTTATAAAGATATGTAAAGAATTAAGGGGTCACAGTAACCTTGCAAATTTTTTTTTAAATAAAGGTATAATCATTCATTTTGTGGATGCTTTACATGCTCATTTAATTTATACTCAATAATTTATCTTCAAAAAATAATTAAACTGTTTAATTTTTTTTTTAAACTTTAAAAAATTCAAAATTTCTAAATCCTTAAGGCTTTTTTATTTTGCACATATTTTCACATTTTTTTTTTAATTTCCTAGTGCTTACAATATTTATCTTAACAATTTCATGCATTTATTTGTTGATATATCAATTAGAACATTTTTTATTGATTATTTTGTAAAAAAGTGAAAAAAAAAAGGTTAAAAATTCCTGTTAGGTATACATAACATGCTGTAAAAATTGTAATACCTCATAAAATGCTTGTTCCACGCACAGTTTAAATAAGAAGTGTATTATACTTAAGATAAAAAAGTTTACTTCAAAGTTTTATCTTAAATCAAAATTTTTTTTAAGGATTTAATTAAGATTAAAACACAAAATTATCATCTATGAGTAAAAGCACTTTAAAGTCTGTCTGCTGATCAAGTTTCTGCTTTAGGGCAATCTAAAACCATTTATAACTTTTTTAAAAATGTAGATAGAGATGATTTTTTTCCAGTGCATTTGAAATAGCTTGAAGTTTTATTATAAGCAATTAAAAAAATATTGATATTTTGGTCATTTTTTTGGGGTACTGTTACCCCTTAAGCAGACTAAAAAAAAACTCTAATAAATTCATATTAGGTAAATGTAAATTAATGAATGGCCCCTAAAGGAATGTTTTTTATTATTATTTGTTACTTGGTTCAGTATTTAAATTTCGTTAATGAAATGTTTAAATAATTTTGAGATGTAAATACAATGAGTATTGAAGCTAGACATTCTTACCCAACAATCTTAATATTTAATAAATCTGTGATAATAAAATTTTTTATTTCAATTGTTTTTAATCATTAAGAAATTAATTAAAGTTTTTTGGAATGACAAATCTTAATCTTTTCACTACTAACCATAAGATTTTTTGCTGCATTTAAAATTTTAAAAAAGCCCCTCACTTCATACTTTTTTAAAAGCTTGGCTCTAAAGATTATTGATCTCTCATAAACATGCCCCGACTTAGCTTAATTGAGGCCCGGGACAAAAACTTCTTTGGGGGCCCCTCCTCTGCTTCACTATTTTAGTAATGAAGAACCGAAATGTATGGAGGTATTTAAATTTTTCACCTCATTCTAGATATATAACAAGAAAAATGACTAGAACCTAAAATAGCTATAAATGCCCCCCCCCCCAAATGGGCAGACGAAATATTATTCCGTCCATTTCATTGATTTTCTGACATTTCTATGACCATCATGCCGAATGCAATTTTCTGATTGTTAACTTTGTTATCTAGCTGCAAAAAATTCATATCCTTGCTGACATGAGGGCGGAATTCAGCTAAATTTACGAAATTACGATGGCTCATTAAGTGAATCAGAAGCCTGTATTTTTGTAAACATATCACATTTTGTGATATAAAAAAAAAAAAAAATAAATAAAAAAAAAATAATAAAAAAAGCTTTTGATTGGTCGAATTTGTCCATCGTAATTGCAAAAATTTAGCTGAATTCGCACTAAAAAGCAATAGATTTATGAAACATAGATTTTTTGCATTCATGCAATAGATTAATGAAAAAGCTAACATAAAACTGATGGGTTTTACACTGTACTGATATTTTGTTCATTAAGGAAGGAAGCCTAAAATAAACCTTCTATTCGATTTAGGGGGCCTGGGGCAACTGCTCTGTATGCCCCTGCCTTAGTCAGGCTCTACTCATAAAACAAATTAATACTAAAAATTTTAAAAGTAACATAATAATTAATAAAAAGAAATAAGCAAAAAAAAAAGCAATGAAGTACAACAAATGTTTACAAAATTTTTAGACAGTTGGTGGATGATCTCCTCAAGTAACAACATTAAGCTAAAAATTCTCAATTAATTCTTAAATTTAATGAATAAAAGGGGGATGGAAATTTTGAGGTGATGAAGCTTTCATATTTTTTATCGCTCTGGGGACCCACGTGAAAATACCTAATTAATGAATGATCCCAAAGTCAAGTTCAAATATTATGGAACTGTTCTATAAATAGAATATCCCGAAAATGCCATTAGCTTGCCAGTGACAAACACAAGGACGTGTCACTAGCGATAAAACTAAGAAGAGATATAAAATTTTCTATCGCTATTGGGGGGAAGGGGAGGAATTGACAATGTTTATTTGGTTCCCAAAATGAGCAAAAATTCGAGAGATTTTTCGATTCGATTTCAAAGGGCGGAAATTGAATTCTGAAATTGAGAATCTCTTGCAAAATGCAGCAGAGTTGCACATGAGTCGACAAAAATCCTTCCCACTGAATCCAGCTCAGTATAAGCACATGCTGACCCGCAAGCATTTTATGAAACATATAAAACAATTAGCGTTTTCATACACAACGGACTGACGGTACGCAGAATTAAATTGGGGTTGAATTAATTGTGAAAACATTGAATAGAACCTCTTTCTGGATAATTTGTGGCAAAAATTAACATGGTAAGAAAAAAATATCTTATTTTGGAAAAGGGAAAAGTAAGCACCTTTTAAAAACACCCAATGAAAAAAAAGCACCTTTAAGGACTTTTAAAAACCGAAAATTGAAAATAAGCACTTTTTAAAAACGCCAAGCACCCTGAAGAAAAACTCAAAATTTCCTGCATTTTCCCAGTTAATTTTAGATGATTTTTAGATTCCCTGTATTCCCATTCTCCCTATGGAGTAGCAACCCTGTCTTAAGGCAGAAAAAAAAGGGTAAAACAGAAATGAGACAGAATTATTTTACATAACAGTTACATTGTATAAACAAAATTTCAGGATTCATGTTAATATTTTTTTATATTTAAAATAGAAATGAGGTTTGTTTACTTTGAGAATGGCTCCAATCCAGAAAGTGTAGCATGTATCTTCTGGTTTATTGGGTCGCCCTTGAAATCCTTGATTTTGACGGAAAACGAGCCACCGCCTCAGAGCATTCATTTCTGTGAGTGAAAACGCCTTCTCCAATTCTCCCATCAAATAAAGAGATGCAACAGCACAGAAGGTAGAACCTCCTATAAATGAAGCATTTCTATCACTCAAGGTAAATATAACACACAGTAAAGTGTCACCAGATGTTGCTATGCTTTGCCCAAAGCCAGATAAAGGGTGGGTAAATTTGAATTTAAAAAATAAATGCTTTGCCTGAAGCCATATTAAGGGTGGGTAAATTTGAATGAACATATAAACTTCCAGTATATTAAATCACACAGTTTTTTCAATAGTGGACGATAGAAAATTCTTTCCCAGAAAACTGTAATGTTTTAAACAATATGAATCAGAGAAGATGGATTCCTATAACGAAGAACACTTCTAAAGATTTAATATCAATAGCATAATAGGTTGAAGGTAATTGTGATACGCAATATAAAATTATTAATAAAAATATTTTTGCATTTTATAATAAAAATTACCAAATGCCATAAAAATGATAAAAAATGGGGAAGGGAAAATATCTAAAGAATTTAAACAATGCTCCAAAACTAAAAAAGAATTCCTGAAAAATCTGAAGAAAAAAAAAAACCCTCTAAAAGAGACAAAAATGCAAATGTCATTAAAATAGTCATAAGTTTCATGGTCATTCAAATGATGACTTTGGAAATAAGAAAATCTGGATAAAAAGGAAAAGGTTGTGTCGAAATCAAAAATGAATTACTAAAAACTCATCTAAGGTTTTTTTTTAAATTTTCAAGTTGCAAAAGGCATAATCTTGAAGAGTGAATAGATTCATAGATAATTGATTAAGAAATTTTGCAAAATGAGGCGAATTTTATTTAACATTGATTGTTTAGTACTATTTCATTCAAGGGGCACATGAAACAATTATTAAAATATTGATTTGAATCGTATTAAGAGAGTTTATTTAAAAGATGCATAAAAAAAACTTTTTTTTTTTTAAATTCTATATTGGATTAAAGATTTTGCATTTTTATAACACCTTTGAAAGGTAATATTATTTTCACTGGTAATATTATTTATAATAAAGGTAATATTATTTATTCAAATATTCTGAATATGAAGGTAATATTTCTATTACATAAAGTTCAACCAGATGAATTTTTTTTTTGATAACTCAAAGATAGACTCTGAACATAAAGGTCACCAGTAGGTTTAATAATTTCTTGTATATAAAATGCTTCTCAGATTTAAAAAACTTCATTCAGTTCAGAACATTCTAAATACTATATCTATTTAATTTTTACAGTTTAGAAACTAACATGTTATACTGCACAGAATACTATACAATAACAGAATACTGCAGCATTATTAAATAATTTGCAGGAAAAAATCAACATTTGATGAATGAGTCCCTTAAAAAATTTTATTAGCAAAAAATATACACTATAATAAAATATTTTTTTTATTTATTCTGGTTGCATTTTTTCTAAAATAGCTGTAGTGATATATCGTGAAGGAGTTTCATCAAAAACAGCTTTTATTAAAAAATCCAATGCAATCTGACTGAGGATTGCAAAACAGTATTTAATTGGAAAACTGAATGTTTTCATATTTTGATAATTTATTATTGAAAATAGAAATAATTATTTTATTATAGAAAATTATTTTTTGTACTGTTTGGTGCAATTACAGTTCCTTCTTCAGGAACTGAATTTAAGATGAATCCTCAGTCAAACTGGTTATTGTTTTTCTAACAGGGTTGCCATTCAAATCTGGAAGGAAAAAAATTCCCTGTGCATATTTACTATACATAATATATCAAGAGGAAACACAACAATTACTTGCTCTTGTATGAGCTATATTACGCTAACCATACTATTTTTAATTGCTGGAAAAACTTAGAGAAAAAAAGGAACAGATGAACATTCTTAAATAATATTATAGTAAATGAAATAGTTTAGTATAGCTGAAATATCATCCTTAAATATCCCATAAATTACGCTTTGAGTGGACACCCTTTTTTAAAAGACAAAAGGGGGAAACAAAATTCCCGTTATTTTTAGCAGTTTCTGAAGAAAAAAAAATCAAAATTCTCCGTTATTTTATGAACTTCTCCTTTATTTTAAATTCCCTGTATTTTCCAGGTTTTCCTTATTCTCCTTGTGGAGTGGCAACCCTGTTGAATAAATCACAGCCTGAAAGCATTTTTAGTGGCTTAATTTATGATTCATTACTAAGCATAGTGTTCTAAGAACATTTTTAACAAGTAAACTGACAAAATATACATTAAGGAAGGTCATTACAGAATACTTTATATTCCACAGCAGAAATGTCAAAAGTGACGGAATGACTGCTACCTTTTTTGTTTGGCAAACTCTTTAGAAACTATCTGAAGAAACATTAGGCTAAGCAAAATCAAATTTCAAAAATATTGCAAAGGTGATGCATTTTGTGCAGGAATGCGTCTTTCAATTATGCCAGCAATAACATTTCTTCTTATTCAAATTTTCAGTTTAAACATTGTATTTGAATGCATGTAATAAAATTTATTTCTTTTTTTGTTCTGAGAAATTTAAGTTTTCAAATTTAAGAATTATTGGCATAGTTTAGGATTATTTTCTATTGCTTTGTTTTTTCTTCAGTATAATTTGGCACAAATGGATTAGCTAAATCACCTTCAGCCACAAAGAAGTTTTTATTTAAAAAAGAGAGAGAGAGAGAGAGAGAGAGAGAGAAGGAAATATAGCTTATTTCTATTCAATTTATTTAAAAACAATTGCCTAATTAAGTTTCGATTTTTAATAATTAACAAAATTACTTTTATTCAAAACATTTATTATCCATTTACTATACAAGTAAAAGATTTTATCACGAAATCATACACATGGGTGCCATACTGAAAACATTGTAAGACTCCTGAACTTAGTTTTTGACCAATTAACACTGTCTAGTATTGTTTACAAGAATTTACAGAAATGTACTGCTCACTGACTTCAAAAAATACCTTCCCTTAATGCATATTATAATTATATCAGATTAGATTGTTTTTTTCTAAAAGAAAAAAATGAATACATATACAATTATTTACATTTTTCTTAATTTATTCCTTACAGCATACAAAACAAAGATAACAGCTAACCTTGTACATCTTTTAACACCAATCTTTGAATAATAAACCACTATTTTTTGGAGCCATTTATATCTATTTTTTTTCATTTTATCATCAATATTTTGCCCTAGCCCTATAAATATCATTTTTAAAAAATAATCTTAACATAACTTTGCCCAGCATTTCAAAGTACGAAGGGGTAAAAAATGCTACCTCAAGCAGAATCAGTTATAAATTCTATTTGCATAAACAGATGTCAGTCACTCTCACACTTTCAGTACATTTTCTGTGACATTATAATTTGATAATTTTGCAATAATTATGCAAAATAACAATGTTTTCATTAAAAACTAATTTTTATTGATATATTTTAATAGAAGATACATTATATTTTTTAAGAACAAAAATGAGGAAAATTTTACTTACTGAAAAATTAAAAAAACATTTAAAATAGAAATTATATATATAGAAATGCAATTTTGAAATAATTATGTAAAATAACAATCTTTTCATTAAAAACTTATTTTTATTGATATATTTTTATGAAGATACGTTATATTTTAAGAACAAAAATGTGAAAAATTTAATTTATTGAAAAATAGAAATTATATATGGCAAAACAGATGCAAATAAATAGAAGCAAAAATAGAAATTATATAGAAATAATATAATTTTGAAATAATTATGTAAAATAACAATATTTTCAATAAAAACTAATTTTTATTTATACATTTTAGTAGAAGATACGTAATATTTTTCAAGAACAAAAATTTGGAAAATTTTATGACCTTTCTTTAAAGACTGATTTCAGCCTCAGGACAGAAGAGTAGCACCCATGTAATACACTAACGATGAAAATTTCACTTACAAAGGTGTATGTGAAGTGAGAAAGACCTAGATTAAAGGCAGCTTATAAAGTCACAAAAAAGTAAACATTCACAATAACTAGGCTGAGACAGTAAAACTCATAAACTTTGTACCTTCTCAAAGTGTCGCATATAGTAATTGCCTAACGGCAGCAATCCCTTTGATATACTTACCATGTGATTCTAAACCAGGCCCTTGTCCTATTCCTCCATCGTAATTCTAGAAAAAAAGAAAGAAAAAGATTTGAAGTCACATACATAAATTTTTAAAATATTAGTTCAAACTTAATGTTTTGCATAAAAAAAAAGTTTACTTATAAAATATTAGGTTAATTTATAACTGATTTCTGACATTTATTTAATTCACAGTTTACTACACAGATCTAAAATATGCGTTCAAAAAAACATGAAGCAAATTTATTTTCATCAAGCAGTAATTATAAATGAATTAAACTGAAGTTTTTTTCTCTCTCAAAAATTTATTTTAGAAACTTGTTTTTTTATAAATTAAGCTCAATGTAATTTTTATGTAAATAAATGAATTATTATATGATTGTCTCTGCCGGCTCATACAGTTAAATTGAAGGTGGTGCACTTAGCGGATCATTTGTAATAAGTTGACTACCTTTTTTTAAGTTTAAAATGGTGGATTTTGTGCACAGAGCGAAAAAGAAAAAAAAATGGACCTTCTTGAGTAACTTTTGATCTGATGATAGGATCTTCACGATCTAGGACTCAATCTTAATGGAAGGACGTCAAATATGCTTTAAGTTACAAAATCAGACACAAACACATACTTTTTCTGAATAAACATACCTTTTTTTATGATGGATTTGCGAACTTTGAGCGAAATTGGTCAAATAGTTCCTGAGAACTCAAATCTTTAATAAATGACTTATGGTCCTTTTTTTGTGTGCACCATACATTTAAGTTCACAAATTTTTTATAGTTATTATGTATTAGATATAGCATAATTTAGGAATGTTATGAACACAAGCTGTCATTTGCAGGGATTATTTAAAATTAATCATTTAGGATGGATTTTTAACTCAATGATTTCTTGAATCCTAAAATATGAGCCAAATGAATGAAACAAGCTTTATACATATTTTTTTTTTAAAAAAAACAGTCTTTTGACTGATGTGTAATAAAAATGAAACTTACCCTACTCTTTTTGATGTATTGTACTGTTTTTTGTACATCTATATGAGACCAATCTTGCAGGATGTAACAAATACATGAAGCACAATAGACATACCTCATATCATTTTCACATTCAAGATTCATGGGTCGGAAGCTATAATGAGAGGAAGTCATGTATATAGTACATCTTCCAAAAATTCAAATTACAGAAATTAGCGAAATATTTTATTGAGTAGTAAAATTGTATATTGAGTAGTAAAGTTGAATATTTTCAGAATTTTGATACCAACAGTTCCACTCTGAGAGTCTGGAAAGCTTTAACAGAATTTTTAAATTATTCACATGCTCTGGTGGGAAAAATAAATTTAAATCACATGTACTAAATTATAAAATAACATTCGCTACCACTAAAAAAAATTCTCACAGAGCAGAGGAACGCTGGCATCTTTGCACACATGTAAGAAAATTGAAATTGTCAAATAACAGGGTTGCCACTGAAATTTGGAGGGAAAAAAATACTGTACATTAATATATTAAGAGGAAAATTGCAATCACTGTGCACTTGTATGAGATGTATTGGGTTAACTATACTAGTTGGAATTGCTGGAAAAACTTAAGGAATAGCTGAACATACTTAAAACAAATAATGCTATAGTAAATAAAATAGTTTAATACAGGTGAAATAACATCCTTAAATATAAATTGAATGGTTACTATTTTTTTTAAAAAAACACGAAAATAAGAAACGAAATTCCCTGCATTTTCTAGTTTCTAAAGAAAAACTCAAAATTCCCTGCATTTTCTCTGTTATCTTAAGTGATTTTTAAATTCCTTGTATATTCCAGGTTTCCCTGTGGAGTGGCAACGCTGTACTTCTAACATTTCTTTTACCAGATCAAGATTTTTAGACAGGGTTCCCACTCAATCTTTTAAAAAAAATTCAAGGATTTTTCAATGACTTTCAAGGACCTATTCGATATTATTGTTATACGCTAAAGCACATGTCAACCAGATTTTACAATTACGTAGAAGCAGAAATTGTATATTTTTAAATCATAATGCTTATTTGACAACAACAGAAAATTATTTATTAAATTTATCAGCTAATAATACGAATGGTTAATAGTTACATTGCTGTTTCAAATTACTTTAAAAAATTCCAATTGATCAAAAAAAAACCAATCTTCAATTGACACAGGATACTAGCCAACATTTAAAACTAGCATCAGTGAAACTTTTCATGAGAAATGAATTAGAATTAATGAAACTGAATGAATGAGTAATGCATATTACATTAAACAAGCATAGTAAATAATTGATAAAGTTTGTGTAATTGCACGGTTTTTAAAATATAAATACTTTTTTTAATATGTTAGATCAAATTTTAGGTTACAGGAAATGTATATACTTAGATAAATTATCAAAATATATCTATTTAACATATCTGTTTCAATTTTAACATCAAATTTTCTATGTTCTTACTTAAGAATATCAGTAATGTATTTTGAACATAATAAAATCTATTGTAGAACAATATTTTACAGATAACTAAGACTTACCAAGCTTTATTTTCTTTAAAATATATCCATAAAATGTAAATTTTGTGAATATGCCTAATTTTCACAAATTGCAATTTGTGTTTCGAAAGGTGCTTAATATAGGACAGATATGTGTGATTCTAAAATCATTTTGATGAGAATTGTGGGTGGTAATTCTTAAATCTCTCTTTT